CATGCCCATTTCACCCCCCCCCCCCCCCAAAAAAAAAACAACATTTCTTACTTTAACCAAACTCAACAAAAAGAGAAACATTTTGGCTTTAGATACACTTAATGTTTCTAAAATTAACCAATTCCATCTGCAAACAGCTATACATTATTAAAGCTGACCTCTGGGATCCTAGCCACTTTTGATTCTCAACTTCCTTTCCCATACACAATACAAATGCTTATTTATTTTTAAATGCCTTATTTGTGGAGTAGTTAATACTTTTATTCAGTGTGATGTCATCAGCTCCTTTTTTCCCCAGAAGGTGAGATGGACTGGTGTAAAGCAGCAATAAAATTGTAGCCCTGTGCAGGTAGGTTGTGCTTCCTGTACACACCTCGGGGGCTCATTTCCAATTCTAACTTTACATTTTAACTTTACAGTTTTCTTTTTCAAAATATGACAACAGTAATGTGAGAACCGGAGTTTATGGACTGATCATCCCCCTACTCATGTATTTAGCTCACTACTTATCACAGACAACTGCACATAGCTTGAGGCAAAATGTCAGGCATTCCCTGCAATGTTCTTAGTTTTACTGTGACGAAAGTTTAATCTTCAGTGAGATACTTTGTCACGCGGTGTTGCACACTTGGAAGATGCCTGACAAGTGCAGAATTTCTTCATGCAACACTCAAATGAATTCAGCAAGCCAACTCTCCCATTTTTCATTGAAGCCCAACTGAACTTTAAGGGCCAGTTCACACCACAAAGAGTGCGTTCCAGAGCGTTTGGCCCCTGGGACGCACTGGAAACGCAACCTGGCCAGCTCCCTGTGTTCAGAGGCGGGCCGGTGCATTAAAGTTATAAATGCAGCATTTCTTCAGATCACACTGGATTAGAACGCAGGCTCACCCGAACGCTGTGCCATGCGTTCGGGTGTGGGCGATCGCACTGCAGACGGGGGTGTGTGGCTGCAGTGACTTCAATGCACCGCCACGCCCTCTCCCGCCCCTGAAGGCAGGGAGCCGGCCGGGTTGCTTTCCAGAGGCCGAATGCTCTGGAATGCACTCTTTGTGGTGTGAACCGGCCCTTAATCTGCTACATACATTCTAAGTGCATCAAAACCAAATGAAGAGCATTATAGTTTGTTCTCGTTGTTAGGCAGCCGCATCCTCAGTAGAGAAGGCTGTCAACTGCCAGGATGCTTGCTCCGTGTGTGAAAGCAGTGATCTCTCTGCGCAGATCCAACACATCCCCTGCTAGGTCAGAACTAGCTCTCTCCAGTCATCAGGGAGCATGAGCTTTGTTGATTGCAGAGTTAAAAGGTTGGACTAAGTAGAGAGTGTGCTGGATATCTGCAGAGAAACCACTGTTCTCCCGCACAGAGCAAGGATCCTTCTCTTCAGCATGCTGGCAGGGGTCAGGCTTTTCTACGTTGGCTGTGGCTGCTTTCTAGAAAACATACTTTAAGACTTTTCACACCTTTTACTTGAACCTGATTTACACCAACAGTTCAGTTGGGCTTTAAAATCACTGGTGTAGCCTAGCTTAGTATCCACAGAACAGAAGTAGGCTGGAGTTTCATCACTTGTAAAAGACAAGTAAGGAAAAGTAGCCACCAAGCACAGACAACGTTTGGTGTAACAAAGTGTTTCCCAGAGTCTGTAGATAATAATGACGTAGGCTGCAGTTCGGAGTAGACACACTTCTACAAATGTACACTCATACACGATTAACTCATGCGGATGATACCTTTGCTCTTGAGTTAAAGATGAGTCCCTTATGTAAAGCCAGCGCCACTCTCTTAACGAGCTCCTTCCGTATGCCATCTTCTAATAGCTGCTTTGGATCCACCTGGGAACAAAAACAGGTCAGCTATGAAACTCAGGCGAAAAAATAATTTTCAGCTTTAACTTTTTTCTCATCTACTAAAAATAAATGTTTTTGCTTTTGTTTTGCCTGTGTGTGCACTCGGAAAGAAATCCAATCACTTAATGTCCTGACAACAAGGGTCAACTTCCTGGGTCCCCTCGCAGCTCTCACCGGATTCTCCTGTTGACCTCTGTATCGTTACAGGGGAAAGCAATAACGTGAGGATCAGAGTAAAGGACCAGTGAGAGCTGCAGAGGACTCAGGACATCCATACTACTGGAAGTGTCACTTTTCCAGCAGACTTTGAGGGCGCTCTGGCACAGGCAGTAGGACATTTAACTACCTGTGGTTTTACTTTTGCTTAAAAGGAAATCTATAAGGTGAGTGTTTTCCTCTCATCCTCATAGTTAGAGCCGACCTATGACAAAGAAGCTGTCACAGGTCGGCTCCATTGATTGGGAAGCGAGTAGAAACATGCACCGATCCGCTCACTTCCCGATCGTCTCCCTGCAGTGAGCGGTGACTGTCAGTCACTGCTCCCCACAGGGATTCCCCCCTCCTCTCCGATTCTCCAGCACTGACTGGAGGAGTGGACGGGGAGGGGCGCGGGCACTGTTGGCTCTGCCTCTAGATAGGCAGAGCCCACTGCCAATCAGCCAGCTGGGTGAATCTCAACATTATTTTCAGGATCCATCCCAGCTGCGGCGCTCTCAGTATTTCGCGGGCAATAGCTCGCTATATACTGAGCTTTGGGTCACAGGAGGATGCTAGTATATGTCCTCCCGTGACCCTAAAGAGAACTATGGGGGAAAACACTTACCCCATAGTTCTCTTTTAAGTTACAATTGTTTAGTGACTTGGTTGCTTATAGGATTACTTGAGGTTATTTTTTATTACTTACTTGTATTGCCTTCCTTTCAGAGCAGAAATGTCTGTAAGGCCATCAATACCTCCTCTCTGAGCTCAGGGCTGATCACAGACAATAAAAAAAACTGTCGTATAGTTGGAGTTAATTAAAACAAATGACAGCTTTGTTAATCAATGGTTTTGCCCACATCCAGCAGCCTAGAAAGAGTGTCTGTTATCAGCCCTGTGCTCAGACAAAAGAAAGGCCAGACTTGGTAGGGGATTAATAGTCTGACACTGGGATGGCATTCCTCCTCTGACAGGGAAAGAATGCAGGTTAATAACCGCACATACAGCCATCCCTGAATGGCAAGGCAGAACTACTATAATAACCTAAACTAAAAGTACAGAGTCGGGTTCTTACAAATGTCTATTCTTGATTGGTTCACTTAAAGAATAAATTTAAAAAATGAGAGCTGAAATCACTGAGAGTACTAACCTTAATTATTCCAACCAGAGTAGTCTTCATCATTAGAATGCCCTCGGTAAATATGGATATAGCATGGGTCAGCCTGGCTACCTAAGGAGTAAACAAAGGATTACAGTACAGTGCAGCAGATTGCTGGAATGATCAGACTAATGAACAATAAAGGTCTGAGCAATGTGCAGCTAAGACTGACAGTTGGGCTCATTCATTATAGCCGTGCAGAGCTCTGTGATCAAGCGCTTTAACCCATAGAAACCATAAAATCAGTGAAGGATGAATTGTGATTGGTTGCTGTAAGTTGCCACACTTTCTTTTTAGGCTTGTGATGAACTGTATTCTCGCAGAACTTGGCTCTCACCTCATATCTGGCTCCAAGCTGGGCGTAATCTCTTAGCTTGTCCTTGTCCAGGCGTGTTGGAACTTCCATAATATCGTGTGTCTGCAGCTTGATGATTTTAGCCAGAGAGGTAAACATGCTCTCTGGAATGATCTGTAGAACCTTTTGTAAAAATTGAAAAGAAAATGTTAATCCGATGCTAAGATCTGGGCACTCCAGTGTCCAGTGATCCCATTTTATTTGGCCTGACAGCACATTTTTAAAAAGTTTACAGACCAGCACCACTAAACCCGCCAGATAAATAGCACGGTGCTTTCCTGTGGAGCGGAGGGTTACAAAGAGGGTTTTTTTTTTAACCTATTGAATTGAACTATTATCAGCTCTGTGAAGAAAATCTTGAGTAGAGCTGCGCAGTCATGACAGTGCACAACCAGATATAATCCAAAAAGGTGCCTGCAGTGACTGCAATGTATAGTGCCATGCAGAAATAGGAGTAAAAAGTCACCAGAACTCCATTCATGAATTTTCAAAATTTATAACGATCAAAATGTGACATAAGGTCAAAATGCCATAGTTCCATCGCTTCACAGGGTCCTCTTCCTCAGGGAGACTCAGTGATAATCAACACATAAGTTAACATAACATTGGTAGAGCTCAGTAACCATTAGCAATCAGACTCCCCCATTCCAAAAACGTCACTATGATGTCATAATCCCACCAAAATTCATGTAAATATTGCAGAAAATCATTGTGCCATATCATAAAGATATCGACAAAACACCAAGGTTTGAACAAAATAACGATAGTGCAAACCTCATGTATGTCCCCTTAAGGGCCATTCACACAGCAAACAGCGCGTTCAAGATCGGTCAGCCTCAGGAACGCACTGTATCCCAACCCGAGCGGCTCTCTGCGTTCAGGGGCAGGGCGGTGCATTGAAGTCAATGGCACTGCAGCCATGAGGCTGACAGCTCTGGCATGCACTGTTTGTGGTGTGAACGGGCCCCAAGGGTGCCATGGCAGAGTACACTAGCAACAAACAGATGGGAGTGAAGGTTATTGACTGCAGGTGTGCATGCAACAGTGAGGTACATTGCAACACATGTGCGGCACTGATCACTGCGCACTGGGGGCGGCACCTGACGCTTTCATTGCTTGGCAATGGTGAGTACATCGCCAGTGTACTCTGCAGTGTGTATCGCATTTTGAAGGCATCCTTAAAGCAGAAACTCTGGGTAATTTTTTTCTTAACCCTTGCAGTTGGACTACCCCCTGCATGGTATGTCCCTCGGCATCCTCACGTCCTATACACAGAGTATAGAACGTGATGAACCGGACCTTACACTGCTGCAGCGGAACAGTCTAAGAGTAAGCCGACTGAGGACCAGGCTAGTATAACATTTTTATTTTTCAGGCCAAGCGAAAAACGAGCACTTAACTCTTGCACTGCAGGGGAAACCCCACTGCAATGGTTAAGAAAAAATTTACCCGGAGTTCGGCTTTAAGGATGACTTCCAAATGCGACACACAGAGTACGCAGAGTATAGCAATGTAGCACCCTTGCAGTGGTTAAGTTGCAGTGGCACAAAAATTTTACCCGGAGTTCTGCTTAAAGTAGACATACGAACTGGGCGCTATTGTGACTTTGTTTACATATGTGTGTTTCGTCAATATCTATTATATGGCACAATGATTTCCTGCAATATTTAGCAGATCTCATGAAAAATTCAACAGCCCAGTTTCTGGCGTAGACTAAAATCTTTGTACAATGGCAGCTGATCTTCCAACGCAAAGTTGCACATGAATTGCTCATGAAATGGATATGAAAAGACACGTGTGTAGCTCACCTTCCTGACATAGGACACCAACTCCCCAGAGTAGTACTGGGAAACACTGAGAAGATCGGAGCTGTTTGCCTGGTTGATACGAAGCAATGGCAAGTCAAGGGCTGAAGCCAGCTGTAAGAGAGAGAGAAGGGTTTATCACACTCAAAGACAATAATGTGAAGCCATTTGTCTCTGCACAGTGCGTATTGTGAAGCTAATGTCTCTATGGCTGAAGCTATGATACATCCCTGACAGATTAAAGTAGATCTAAACCCAATTACTAAAGTCTCAATGAAAGCCTCAACTTGTTAAAAGAGAATTACGGGGTAACCTTTTTATCCCATAGTTCTCTTTAGGGTCACGGGAGGACATATAGTAGCCTCCTCCCGTGACCCAAAGCTCAGTATATCGCAGGCTATAGCTCGCTCTATACTGAGAGCGCCGCAGCCAGGACGGATCCCGACAATACTGGCAAGATCAACCCAGCTGGCTGATTGACAGCGGGCTCTGCCTATCTAAAGAACGTGACATTTTCAATGTCACACGTCGGCTTTAACTATGTGAAAGAGTGTAAATCACTCGCCTCATGGTTCTCCTTTAATGTAACCTCAAAAGCTGTTTCAAACTTTTTTTTAATCAGCAGCTAGCCTTACAAATTACCTGGTGATGCTACCATGAAGGTCCTTTTTCAAGCACTTCCTGTTATAGGGTGACAACTGTCTCCCATTTGTGTTCCTGTGGTGTCACCCTGCCACACAAGCTACTAGTGGAGACTACAAAAACACAAATCGTACAAACAGCGCTCTTGCAATGATCTTGAGGGGGTAGATAATGTGACCCTAACTAGTATGCAGCTCTGAAACCCAGGAGGAGTGCCTGTGGATATGCAAACCAGAAACAGAAAAACAAAAGGGCGCAACACTAGGTCAGCTGACTGACCGGGTCGGTCACCTTCCCTGTTTTGTCTGACCCGGTCAGTCAGCTGACCTAGTGTTACGCCCTTTTGTTTTTCTGTTTCTAGTGGAGACTACAAGTGGCCATGCGGACATACATTGTGCACGCATGGTCCAATGTTGTCTCTATCAGAAAACCATCAAAGCAATGATGTGAAGCTGATGCTAGTGTGCATATAGACATTTGCTATTCTGCTGAGTGAAGCCACCTGGGGCAGGAAGTGAGGGAAATCTCCCCAGTGGGGACTCAGCAGCACAAACCCCAATGAAGGTTCTTCCCTATTCTACCCAAAACTGAAAAAAAAAAGCTGTGGCAAAAAAAAGCTGTGGCAGGACTTCTATCTACATGAATTCAGACTCATTTGTGTTGGCAACAAAGTAACTGCCATCACATGTTCCCACAGTACTTATATGTGGAATTAAAACTTTCCCCATGTGCCAGGAAGCATCCTTACTCCCTCCCATGCCCCAGGGCACACATCCTATAGAACTTTTTATCAACGTTGATCCGACTAACAGGTGCTCGTACACCTTACGATTATCGTTCGATTTAATACAGTTAGTATTGATAATGAACAATAATTGAAATCCACATTGGTCTGTGCATGATGGGGTATTCGAGTGGAACACGGACCGCGACTCGATGACGGGACGAAAGAAAACAAACGTTAATTGTAAGGCGGATGGGTGTTCTATAAAAGTCTGTGACTGCATTTGAATGTGTGATTGGTGACGTGGTCACACATTTTAACCTAATCCCGCTCAGGTTTTTCGGCGGTGGAATGTGTGACCCACAAAAAGTGAAGAATTTCAGCTGTTCCAGGGCAGATTGGCATCACAGATAGTATGTGCAGGAGAACCGATCTGCCCTGGAACAGCTGATAGGTCCTGAAATGTCACTTCTCTTTGACTTTGTGGCATGTGAGATCGCAGTCACAAAGTCGAATAGAAGTGACATTTCAGGACCGATCAGCTGTTCCAAGGCAGATCGGTTCTCCTGCACATACAATCTGTAATGCTGATCTGCCCTGGAACAGCTGAGAAAGCGTTGGAATTCACATTTTGCCGGTTACATATTCCGCCGCCGAAAAAGTGAGCGTGACTATGTTAAAATGAAATGTGTGACCACGTGACTGGTCACACATTCCAACCCAGTCACAATCTTTGATAGAACATGGGCACCTTTATGTATCTCACAACCCAGTGCGGAGTCTCTGAAGCTAGTAAAGTCATGCCGAATTTGGTTGTCGGACAGCTGAGGGGGGCTAGAGCAATGCGAAAAGCTAAAAAGTGAAGTTGGAGCCTTTAGGATTGCATGATTGCATGTGGCTGGGTTCTGGGGGGTGGGGGGTAGGTGCTGGAGACCAGCTATTACCAAAAAAATGTATAGCCAGGTAGCTTGTGGCGCCTGCTGTTTGGACAAACTGTGATGTATCTCATTTTTGGCAGTACTGGATCACTTTAAAGCCCAACTTCATCCAAATATTTTTTTTTTTATACAATGGGGTAATAATTACATATTTTCCATTTAGAATTTACCTTCACTTCCAGTCTCAGGGGAATGGATGTCACTGCCACAACTAGATATGGAAGCAATATAAGCCAGACTCAATTTCTTAGCCTTCCTGGCTCCAACAGTTTTGTTGCCATTTCTGATCATATTCTGTCCCTCTGACCTCCTGTCACTAGGCAAAGGGGGGGGACTCTTAGGCCCGGTTCACACCTGGGCGTTTTGTAGCGCGTTCGAACGCTCTGCAAAACGCTCAAACACCGAAATCCCATTATTTCCTATGGGTATGGTTCACTCCTGGGCGTATTACAGGCCGTATGAACACGCTACAAAACGTCCTACGCCCAAAGAAGTACAGGAGCTTCTTTGGGGCGTTTTTGTTGCGCGTTTCCATTGGGATACAGCCAAGTAGCCCTCGGAAACGCGCGTTTGTCGCGCTTTTTTTTTACCGTGAATCGCGGTAAAAACGCGCGTCACAAAACGAGCATATTCGATACGCCTAGGTGTGAACCCAGCCTTAGACAAGTTCTATCCATTCTCAACATCATCCAAATGTATAATGATGTTTTGGCTGCAGCTGTGCATCGAATAGAAACACCATAGAAGATATTAGATATAAAGGTGACTTGCCTTCAGGAAAGTGGCTCTCAGTTTGGTCACCATGGATGGATTGGCTCTTATACTTTCCTGCATAATGGATGTGAAACTAAAGGAAAAAAACTAAATGTTAAAAACTATATATATATATGTGCTAGACATACATTTAGATAATATACAGTAAATAAGGGAGCGGACATTATTAAATTGTTTATGAGCATGCTTGCTTGATCCAAGCTAGTGAGTACCTAACCTGGAAGAAGCCAGATACAGATATTTGTATACATGTGTATAGGTGCCCATACACTGCACGATTCTCGTACGAGAATCGCGGGAAATCCCGCAATCGTACGAGAATCGTGCAGTGTATGGAAGGCGTGCGACCGTTTCTAATGTACGGTTGCACGACTTTTATAGATCGAGCATGTTGGAAAACCAGCCGATAATCGTACGATTTTTGGCTGGTTTTTAACATGATCGAGAGACCACTGCCAAACGGGCCGTTGTGCGCACGCCGTTCAGCATTGCAGTCATCGGAAGCCCGCCCCTCAGGGGGGCGGGCTTGCGATGATCGCAAGTACGATCTGCCTGTCCAAGATGGGCAGATCGTACGTTTTTTTAAGTACTTTACAACCCTCGCAAGACAAAAGTCTTGCGAGGGTTGTAGAGTGCTTGGCCACCTTAAAGCTTAATCTGCTTATATTTTGCCTTCCCGGGTTCCTCTCTCCCACTACATCACCATGCTAATGAAATGTCATTACATACAGTATCTTAATTTAGGCACAATTAAATAAAAAATGGGTCTCTGTGCTATGTATAGCAGATTATGGCTGTTCATAGCTTCCTGAAAATATCACAGCACTGTACCTCAATACTCCTCTCAAGAGCGCTCAGCCCTGATGCAAGCAGTGAGCTGGTTCTTAAGGTGCCCATACACCTTACGATTATCGGACGAAACTTTTCGTCCGATGATCGAATAGTCGTACGATTTTCGTACGACAGCCCCATCCTGCCCCGATGATCGCAAGAATCATTTAGCCGTAATTAACCAAAAGCACCTGGACGAAATGCGGTAATTGATTTGCCGTATTTTCGTTAGCGCAAGCGCAGTGTACATCGTACGACTTTTGACGGACGGAAACGCCAGCAACCTTACGACAATCGTACGATCTAGCAAAGTTTTCAAACATGCTTGACCGTCAAAAGTCGTACGATTGTACAGTATTGTCGGTCGGACACTGCAATGCACACATACGATTATCGGACGAAAAGTCGATCGCATACGATTATCGTCCGATAATCGTAAGGTGTATGGGCACCTTTAGGAGAAGTTATGCAAATATGAAAATGCCTTAATGGGCAGATATCAGTCTGAGCAAGTGGGCTTTCAAAGGCAGACTGCATTTGCATACAGACCTCCTTTTGTACTGCTCACATGTGATGCCGAGCCTTAATAATTGACAGAATTGGAACCAATGAATGAAAGGGATGGGCTAGGGACAGTCAGGCTGAGGAGGAAAACGCTAGATGATGCTAGGAAATTAGGTGGGCTCTATCAGACTTGCTGCAGCTTCTAATGCAAATTGTGAGAAGCTCAGAGTGTGTAGTGAAATCAGAGAAAACATTTTCAGTCCAGAAGAGGAGCCGGTACAACTGTGCAAGACTGAAGGGAAAGCCAGAGTTCAACTTTAAAAGAGCACTCACCTGTCAATCAGCTGCCAGGCATAGGACAGGTCCCCCACAATCTGCATAGTGATGAGCACTTCCTCTTTGATGTTAATGGTGCGAATCATCTGATGTAGGAATTTCCTGGTGTCAGCAAGGAACTGGCAAATCTGAAGGTTACTCTCCAGCTGGTGAAACTCCTGGACCTACAGAGAGAGATTTTAATAAAAGCTTTAACACTAAACTGATATCATATATCACTTAAGATGCCCATACATTGGCTGAATTTCAGCTGTTTTTTAATGTACCGGTGAAATTGAAGCTACTACCTTTATTGTGAGCTGCAGCAAAATCTATCTTTTACAAGAAATGAAAAATAAATCCTGGAAGTGAGGGAAGGAGATGGGTGGTGGTGTCCCCTGGTCATTGCATGCAATGGCCAGTTTGTGTCTGGGACCCAAAGATACAGAACCTTGTGGGAAATTGGGAAGCAGGCCCAAAATGTTCTGGAACTTTAAACATGCTGAACGTTTGTCTGGTGTTATAATAATATTCAAGCATATAATTAATAGCTACAATAGAAGCCAATATAAAGGTCAGGGAAAAGAGAATCCAGACTACAGTGTGTGTGTGTTAAAGTGTTACTGGCAAGCCAAACACATTTTCCTAATTAAAGCCGCTGTAAAAGATATTGTATGTAAATCCTATTTTAGTCAGATCTATAAAATCAATTTAACAAAAAACACCTGATCAATATTTACCTGCTAGAGGCGCCAGCCCTGCAACATGGGGTGGGGGATGTGTGCATTGCCAAAGAGTGCAGTCTATGTTCAGGTGGATCTACTAATTGGCTTATCACTCCTTAAAAGGAGAACTATGACATGAGTGATTTCCACTCACCTCATAGTTCTAGCCGACCTGTGACAATGAGACTGTCACAGGTCGGCTCAGTAGATCGGGAGGTGAGCGAACACATACCGGGTTCGCTCACCTCTCGATCCTGTCACAGCTCTCTGCCGTGACAGGGGGAGGGGCTGGATTCCCCTCTCCCCGCTCCGATCTGCCAGCGCTGACTGGCAGAACGGACGGGGGAGGGGGCGGGTACAGCTGGCTCTGCCTCTAGATAGGCAGAGCCAGCTGTCACTCACGCAGCTGGGCGTATCCCGACGTCCAGGTCGGGATCCGCTCCGGCGTCTCAGTATACCGCGAGCTGTAGCTCGCGGTATACTGAGCTTAGGGTAACGGGAGGACGCTAGTTTGTGTCCTCCCGTTACCTTAAGGAGAACTATGGGGAAAAACACTGACCCCATAGTTCTCCTTTAATAATGATGAGTCTGGGCTTGCTGCAAACCCATTTCGCTCAAAACTGTGACCAGCACTCCTCCCTCCTGACCCAATCAGTGGCTGCAGTTGCAGTGGTGGCATTCCCTTCCCCTATAGGACATATAGCTGTTAGATGGGAAATGTGTCTGCTGCAACTGACTGGGCTGTGATGGGGATGCGATATTCACAGTTTTAAGCAAGCTTGAGTAAACTCAGTTGAACTGGGTTTGCACCAAGCCCAGGCTCATCACTACTCCTAGACAGCATGCATGTGACCCCCACTTAAAGCTGAACTCCAGGCTGTTATAAAAGACAGACATTAAGCCATGAATTCATTAATGCGCCATTAAATGCATTTTTGTAAATGCAAGCAGTGTAAGCACCTGAATTTGACCTGGTATCAGCCTCTTACAGTCCCCGTACAGCAATGCTCACACTGGGGGAGGGAGAAGCGGCACAAGGAGCCAATAAGATGTGCCGCAGTGCAAGAAAAATGCTGATAAGAGGAGAGAGTGGAGTGAGAGAGATGAGCTCATCAGTCTGTTGCTTCTCCTTTCACTGTCCAGCCACAGGCTGGGGAGGGATAAGACCTGTAAGAGGTCTTCTCCCCTGCCAGATAGGGTTGTGCTGTGGGGTATAGCTGTGTAAATATCAGGACTGGATGGACAATAATGCAAATCCTTTGGCAGGTAAAGCACTTCCCTTATACAGTACGTATATAATCTGTATATTTAGCAGTTTGCCTGGTGTTCAGGTTCAACATCTCTGTTCCAGATTCTGCTGCCAATAACTGTGTTTTTTATCAGAAGAGGTTAGTGGATATGTGGCTTGTGAAAATGAGTATTGGCAAAGGATATTCTGGGGAATGGAAGGTCTCTAGAAGCAAACGTAGGAGGTATATGAAACTGTAAAAGTAGGAGCAAACTGCTTCTTAGCACACTTGTTATACAGCAGCTGTGCTACTTTGCTTGGCATGGATTGATTACAGGTTCCGTTGAAGGTCAGTAACTACTGAAGCTGGATAAACAATTCTGCCTGGCAGCAAAACATTGGCTGCAAAAAAAACCAGCCCATAGGTCCCCACTCGATTAGAGAATATGCAATAAGGAATAGCTGGAACAGAAACCTCTTCCAAAGCCTGTATGAGCTGAACAGTCTTCCTTCCCGCTGCTGTAGAATCATCATAGCTCAGGGACTGGATTTGTTTGGAGATCTCACGAAACCAGGCCTGCAGGTTCTCTGTAGAAAGAAACAAAGTCATATATATGTGTATATATGTGTGTATATATACACACACACACACAATGAACATTTAAGCAAGGATAAAATATACGCAATCTGTTAAAATAGAAAACGCTGTCACAGATAAGCAATGGCGAGCAGACTGCAAAAGGATTAATTGGAGAAACAGCTCAATCATATTCTAAATTATTTTTCCATGGATTTGCATGCATGTACAACCTGGCCACCGTTTCTCCTCCATCTCAATGGGGACCTGCAGAATGTTCTGCCAGAAAAGTATAGCAGCTCATGTTGTCTCTATTCCATGCCACATCTCACCATTTGCCATCCCATCTCTCCAGTTGAACGTCCAGTGACAATACCAGAATCACACATATGACTTGCTGTGATTTCACCAGGACCACCTGACCCAGGCCCATGCAACCAACAATGGCATCTGCAATGGCTCAAGATGATTACCAGTGCAAAGGAGGATCCTCCTCTATAATGACCACCTTGCCCCCTACATGACTGGTGCATACTAGTCTTCTGTGGTACCTTGTGTATTCTGCACCTTACAACTTCTAAAACAACTATAAGAATACTATCAAACTAAGCAGTAAACTATTACATGTCCCTGTCTTCTGTACCACAATAACTAAATTAAATAGAAAGTTCATCCAAAACATACTATTGTCTAAAATCCTGCCAGCTTGCTAAGGGCTAGTGTTGATAGGCAAATGCAGCTTGCGTTCTGGAGCATTCCACATGCATTTTACATCAGTTTGAGACACTTATGAGCTCATTCAGCTTTCATCAACATTTGATCTTCAGTTGACCTCCTTCTGACCTGCATTAACCTGCTTTTGCATTCCCAGTGACTTGTATGGGGTGAGAGAATCAGTTTTGACACCAGCAAAAGGTCCCAGGGCTCCCCATAAGCCCTGGCAGTGTGAGCTGCCCAACAAGGTCCAAGCTTTATCCACCAGCTGGGACCAACTTAAGCCAGCTTTACGCAGAGCAGTAGCATCACCCTTTCCAATCTAAATTCTAAAATGATTAAGAGCTGGTGGCTGGCTGCAGTCTTCCCAAACCTGAAAAATCAGATTGGAATTTTGACTTTTTGGTGGACTTTTCCCCTGAAAGGAAACCTGTATTAAAACATTGACGGAGGCTTCCATTGTGGACTTCATTTTATGAATGCTAGTTGCCCGGCCGCCACAGACTTGGATTAAGTGCTAAGAATTAAATCAGAGTTCCTAACATGCATTCCTGTTCGAAGGCAGTGTTTAGGGCTGTACGAATTTCCTGTGAATAGGACAAAATTCTTACAGTGTGTGGCCCAGCCAGCTGAACAAAAGCAGATTACTCAATTGACTTTTATCAAAGGAGCCGGGCTGGAAATCTGCGACTGAACACTGACTGCAGTCAATCAACTGCAGCCACAGTTCATGTTTATGAAAGGGTTGGCAGGTTATAAAAGAGCGTCTTTTTAAATGAAAAAAAATGTTGTGGCTGGGACAATAGATTTGTCTCACAAACATGCTGACGGGCTTTCTATAGTGTCCCAGACTATGAAGGTCATGTAATGTTGCAGTAGTACTAACAGTGTCTTACCATTCTTCTCCACTCTGGTAAGAGGCTTCACCCCAGAAAATACATCAGCCAGTTCCATCATACGCTCTGAACCTTCCTTCTTATAGTTCTCCCACTTGGCCTGTTTCTCAGACAGCATCTGTTTAAACATCTGTAGGGAGAAAAGATATGTCTCAAATAAAACCTACCTGTTCCAAAATGCTTCAAAACCAAGACAAAATGGCTTATAGAAGACGTGTACAGAGCACAAGCTGCACATATTGCCTAGTCAGCCATAATAAATGAAGAAGATACAGGAGAGGTATGGGCCACTGGTTCTAGTATCTGTTTCAGTTTAATCTCAGGGTGTATATTTATGTGGAACATAAAGCATGGCTGCATACACCAACGGTTCCCAACCTGGGGTACAAGTACCCCCAGGGGTACTTGGCAGCACATTTTGGGGTCTTTGAAAATATTTTTGTAATGGCAGAAAAAGACTGTGACAGGGGGTAGTCGGGGACTAATTGTGTACAGAAGGTCTGCAGAGTAATCCCGTGGCTGTATTTTCCAACACTCATTCTACAGTTTCGGGTATCAACACGTCAGCAAGTCCCCTGGAGAGTGATGTGCCCTTTTCATCTATTAAGTGCAAGGAGCCCTAGATGCAGGGAAACCAGTGTTACAGATTGCCACCCAAAAGAGACCGCAAGATAACACTAGTGCTAATTTTTGTTGCGCTCAAAGTGTATACAAATAAATAAACATAATAAGTAAAATTCACCTCGTGCTAATAAGCATGATTAAAATCAGCAACTGAAGAATTAAAGTGAAAAATCTGTGCGACAAGCTATAAACTTGGGATATAACCGTTGCGCATTATGAGGACATATTGAAGATGACTTTTTGGACAAATGGATGCCTGTAATGTAATGAAAGGAAAGTAAATCCATCCTTTTTCTTTCTAAGAAACACCTGGTGGGTGTACGGACAGATATATTGTAGCAGTAGAGATATTGCTATTATGTTATTGTAGTCACCTTGCTTGTATATTTAATACTTACCATGCCACATATATGTTTAACACGAGTATAAGATTTGAAGCACTATGCACTAACTATAGTGGAATTGTGGATTCGCACATTTGCATTTATACATGTGTATCTAAAGAGGTTTTTAGGTGGAACACAGATTCAAGTTTATAGCTTGTTGCACAGATTTTGTCACTTTAATTCTTCAGTTGCTGATTTTAATCATGCTTGTTAGCATGAGGTGAATTTTACTTATTACGTTTATTTATTTGTATACACTTTGACTGAGCGCAACAAAAATTAGCACTATTTTACACGATTACAAATAATCACATATTGTTGCAGCCGGTTTATTGTTTGGAACACAATTATACTCCGAGCGCACCTATTTGTTAATCATCCCGCAAGATAACACTAGACACACCACCGCAATATGGTGTACCCCAAAGAGCCCCCCACACGAATGGTGCAATGGTTTTACAACAAGTAGTAATTGCACATTAATCATGAGATCAATGTTGCTGCTTTTACTACTTTTTTGCAAAAGACGGACTTAGCCTTTAAAACTGAACTTTCAGTTTAAATCAGCTAAACATATTCCAGGTGCATCAAGACAAACGGTGTGCAAATTCTTAAAGTTCATTGTCCTTAGAAAGCAGCCAAAGTATGCTGTACAGAAGGACTCTTGCTCTCTGTAGAGGCGAGTCAAAACTACAGCTCTTTAATCAGCAGGAAGCATGATTGCAGAACTATATGCCTGACTTAGCAGGGGGCATGTCAGACCTCTGCAGCAAGACCACTGCTTACACAAAGGGAGCAAGGGTCCTTCTCTACAGCATTCTGACAGGGGACAGGCTTCTCTACTCTATGGCTGCTTTAGCAAAGACAATGAACAGTAAGACTTTGCAAACCTTTGGTTTTGATGCACCTGGCATGTAGTTGCCTGATTTAAAGTTGGGCTTTAATCCAATGCAATGCAGCAGGGACATTTACATGGTTTACAATAAACCCAGCAAATGTACTTACCTCCTTCAAGATGAATTCAAACTGAGCTGTGTCCAGCAGAAGCTGGAACAAGACCTTGGAGTTGTACTTTGACTCAGCCAAGACCTGGTCTTTGACCTGACGGAGACGCTTGTTGTTCGGGTCATAGGCTGAAACAGAAACGTATATTTAATCAAAGGGGCGGACAAAATAGGCTTTTCTGCCAAACAAATACAAGGTCCTTACAAGACACATGTCTGAAAATGATCGCTGCCTGACTGTATCTGGTTTTAAAGCTTTCCAAGTTACTCTTCTGGAACAAGTATGCAGCAAGTGAAGCCAGAGCCAGAAGTCTTTATCTGAGTACTTGTTCTTTGTGAGCAGCTCAAGGTATTGGGACCAGATAATCAACGCAGACAGGCACTTGTATTCAGAAGGGGCTATTGTATTTTATAACACTTACGCAGGTCTTCTGCGTCACTAAAACAGAGAAGTTTAATCTCCTTTTAAACAGTAAGCTTATTAAGCAAAGCATTGGTCCGTTTCAAGCGCTTCAAATATCTGTGACCTGTATGTCTATTTTTGTTCAGTACACTGGAAAATGTAGGTGCCTACACCAATAATTTAGAACAAGCCATTTGCATTGAGTTACCTATTGCCAGACCAGAGTACTAACACCAGGCAGAAGGAGTCCACAACAGATGTTCTTTAATAACAATCTGAAACACTTACCCGAATCTGCAGTGTGAAGCATCAGCCACCGGATGGCGACGTTGCAGTCACGCAGGCAGTTCAGCAGCTTGGGGATGTTATCCAGGACAAATTCCTCTCTCAGGAAACCCTCCTTCAGGATCTGCTGGACCTGCGGGTGCAGGCGCTCTACAATGGCTGCATAGCGCAATGCCTGACAAAAACAAGAATGCAGAGTCACTAAGCTTCAATCCTTAGCTTTCCCTTGCAGTAATGTATTTTTCTGCTGCTAGGTGTGCTCAGTTTGCTGGCCAGGATCTTTTAACCACTTCCTCTGAGCCCAGATCATCCTAGACCTGCCCCAGCCTGTGACTGGACAGTGAAAGGAGAAGAAGCATAGTGATTAGCTCTTCTCTGTGCTCTCCACCTATCAGCATGCTTCTTGTCAAAACATGAAGTCATTGGTTCTTTGTGCTTCTTTTTCCTCCCACACTCCAGCCATGCCATACATGGGGCTGGAAGAGGTGAATACCAGGTCAAGTACACTGCTTGTATTTAACAAATACAATAAATGCTGGCGCCGCTGTTACAATACAAAACTCACATCAGGAGATTCGTAGAGGAGAAAAGCGTGGATGGAGGAATCCGTTCTATTTTATTTGTTCAGGCCGCAGGTTGAAAGAAAAAAAAAATAACAGTGTATACCCTACTTTAGATAAAGCATGCAAACAGCTCCCACAGTCCTACCTGCTCTTTGATATTGGGCAGATCCAAAGTGTAGTTCAGAGCCGTCTTCGCAGCCTTGTAAGGCTCCCATGCCTCCATTAGATTTATGGTGATCCCCATATAAATACTGATGACCTGCAAAAACAAGTTAGAAAAAAGGAAGCACAGATATAAAAAGTGGATCTGGAACTGTACTTGTAATGACATTGAAAACATGGGGTGAAATCTCCCTGGTAGATCAGTAGGGAGCAAAATAAATAAATAAATGACAGAGGTTCTAATCCTTCCACATTTTAGCCCCCAAAAAAGAAAAAAATGTCTGGATTTGGGCTTTAAAGCATATGTTCAGAGTGTCGGATACAGAGACTGTGACTTACCCAGTTATCTGGAAAATATTTGTCCACTATTTCCCTCATCTTGGCTTGAAGGTTGTGCAGGGTGGATGGGTGGAAGTACAGGATCACATACAGAATTGCAGCTTGAGTGGCGAGCGCGGTACTGCGGTGTTCTGGCAATGGATAGGCTGACACCTAACAGAAAACACAGGAATTACCCCTTATGACAAGAATGAAGGAAATTGTTGCCCGAAGAGAAAACTTGGACTTGCAAAGAAGTCTGTTATCACCCACACATTTTCTCTTTCACCTCTCAAAGCCAATTCATTCTACCAACATCTTAGAGCAGCCTCTAGAAATCAGGAGCCCTAGAAATCAGTATCAGGGCTCAGGGAACCCCTGCTAATAATGATGTATACAGTTCATGAAACTTTAGAATGAGGAGCAACTTGCAAATATAAGAATACAAGAGTAAGAAATGTGGCACACTTAACGTATTTGACACCCAGTCCTGCTATATTATTTTCTGTAATAATACTGAAATGAAACAAAAGGGAATAATGGCCAGAAGAGAATCACAGACGGCGAAAGTGGTCCCTCATATTGGTGGTCAGTGGAAAAGTGACCCCCCTAACATTGACAGTCATGGGAGAAGGGACCTCTAACACTGGTGGTCAGTGACGAGCCCTAGTACACTGGTGGCTAATGATATGAACTCTCCTTACACTGGTGGTCGGCGGGAAGAAGTCTCCTTACCCTGGTGGTCAGCGGGAAGAAGTCTCCTTATACTGGTGGTCAGCAGGAAGAAGTCTCCTTATACTGGTGGTCAGTGGGAAGAAGTCTCCTTACCCTGGTGGTCAGTGGGAAGAAGTCTCCTTATACTGGTGGTGAGTGGGAAGAAGTCTCCTTACACTGGTGGTCAGTGGGAAGAAGTCTCCTTATACTGGTGGTCATCGGGAAGAAGTCCTCACATTGGTGGTCCGTGGGAAGAAGTCTCCTCACATTAGTGGTCAGTGGCAAGAACTCTCCTTACACTGGTGGTCAGCGGGAAGAACTCTCTTCACATTGGTGGTCAATGGGAGGGAAAAATAGTTAAATAATATACTCTCTTTTCCCCAACCTCCTAAGTTCAGGGGGTGGTATCATCCTACCATGGAAATGATCACTTGGAATGCTGAGTAACCCAAACCTCGTGAGAAGATGCTGCAGCACAACGCAGGATAGCCTGCTCAGTAACATTTGGGCTACGCCAAGGCACCATGGGACAAAGTTGTGGGAAAGGTAATTATTTAATTTAACCCCCCCCCCCCCCCCCCGGTCTTTTTTTTTTTTTTTTCTTCCCTTTTTTTACTAGGGGGGC